CTTTCGACCTGCTCTTTGGGGCTGGCGGGGGGAAGCCCACCATCAGCCCCAAAGAGCAGGTCAGGGAGCAGCGGAAAGGCGCAGCGGAGAGGCTCCTGCCATAGCCACGCGTCACCTCTCCAGCCGGGAGAGGGTCGCGGGGCTATGGCTTCTATGGCAGGAGCCTCTATAGCCGCGCGTCACCTCTCCAGCCGGGAGACGGTCGCGGGGCTGCTTTAGCCCGCGCAGCGCCTCCCGGCTGGAGAGGTGACGCGCGGCCATGGCAGGAGCCTCTATAGCCGCGCGTCACCTCTCCAGCCGGGAGAGGGTCGCAGGGGGCTGCTTTAGCCCCGCGCGTGCTCTCCCGGCTGGAGAGGAGACGCGCGGCTATGGCAGGAGCCTCTATAGCCGCGCGTCACCTCTGCAGCCGGGAGAGGGTCGCGGGGCTATGGCATCTTTGCTCCATAGGACGCACACACATTTCCCCTTCATTTTTGAAGGGGAAAAAGTGCGTCCTATAGAGCGAAAAATACGGTACATTGCAATCTAGGAAACAGTTACAGCTATTTACTTTTAGGTTCTTGCACACCTTTTGCATTTCTGAAAGCACACGGAAATTGGCGTGACCCAGTTTTCTGTGCAGTTCATGTACACACCCCTTATGAACTGGCAAATTATCCTGAACCACCTGGGCTGCTTTAACAGGCTTGTCCTGCATTACATATAACCCATTTTCCAACTTTGCATGGCCACATACCTGAGTTCCATTCTTTATCAGACAGCCATCCTGCGTGAACTTAACACTATACCCTGCATTAATCAAACAGCTTACAGACAGTAAACAATAGTCCAAACTGCTGACAAACAGAGTCTCTGGTAGAGTAGTGTTCAAGCACTGCAGGAAACATGTTCCCTGGCCATCAATCTTGCTTCTACGACCATCAGCAAGATAGATTGAGTCTTTTCCATCAGCTGGCTTCTCCAGGGTCTTAAAGTCCTCCCGACTGTTGCAGATAATCCTGCTACTCCCAGAGTCCAGCAACCATGTTCCTCGAGGTATCTTCCTCTCCTCCCGAGAAAATGCAGACACAAACTGAGCAGAACGCGTGTTCTTCTTCCATGAAGAGAACCCCTTCTGCTTACGTTTCTGCATCGATTGCTGTCTCTGCTCCACGTCGTCTCCTGGAAGTCTTGCCCTGCATTGACGTTGGAGATGCCCAGGTTGGTTGCATCTATAACACCTCCTCACCGCCATGGCCAAGTCCAAGCCTTGGCGTTGCTCCATTGGCAGATTCTGCTGCTGGCCTCCTTTGCTGTAACTCCTCCGCTCTTGGAGTTCAGCCTGTTTATCTGACCTTCTTTCTGCTTCTTCAGTCAATCTTCCAACCACATACTCAAGGGTCAGATCTCGGGGACGCATACTCTCCATGCTGTTAATCACAGCCAACCAGCTTTCAGGCAAACTTGAAAGGATAATGTAGGTTTGGTCAGTCTCATCATAACGCTTACCTCTCTGCTGTAGTTGAAGAAACAGAGATTTCAGCATTTGAAGATGAGTTGCCAAACTCTCACCTTCTTTCATAACAGTCCTGAACAGCCTTCTGGTCAGAGAAATTATAGTTCCAGCTGTTTCTCTGACATGCATTGCCCTTAATAAATTCCAGCACTCAAACGCTGTGCTGGCATTTGCTACATGCAATAACTGAGAGTTGCTCAAACACAGCGTAATTTGGGCACAAGCCCTTTCATCCAGCCGTTTTTTCTCAGGAGAGTCCCATTTCGAAACCTCAGTTTCAACACAGTCCCATAGTCCATCTCTCCTTAACAACTGCTGCATTTTAATTGACCAACTCAGCCAGTTGTTTTCTGAGAGAAGTTCAAAAGGGATGCCTCCCCCAATATTTACAACTTGGGAAGACTGGAAATCTGCCATCTCTGCTGGTGCTTGCTGAGCCCCTTCTGTGGGGTCTCCAGCAATCTCTCCTGACTCTCTTTTTAGAGTCCGACTGGACAGTCCTGGCTGGCACTCAACTCACCGGCTTCTGGCTGCTGCCTCTGTTGACTCTCAGGTCCCGCCTGGCTCTGCAACTGGTGTAGCCACTCTGTGAGCCGCCTACTGTGGCCCTCTGGCAGTTCAAACTGTTCCAGTAGCCGACGCTGAGTGCTTTCCTGATCCTCAGATCCTAGCCGCTCCAGCATCACTGCAGACAGTTACAGCTTGCCACCAACTGCTCCAACACACAGCCACTGGCTCTATACACCACCAGGACTCACCAGCTCCCTGCTCAGATGCTGTCAGTCGTTTTGCACTCTGCACATGCTCAGAAACACTGGGCCCATAACCTGTCAGTGTTTGTAAAAAAACAAAAAAAAAAGAAGGAAAGGGTTCTGACCTCCCTTTGTCTCTTCAGCCTGGTCCTCGGACCCTTGTCTGCATAAAAGAGTCCACGAGAATATCCCTGCAGAGTTTTATTCTTAAAAGTCTTTGTGCAAAACATGACTGAATAACTATACACACCAGCACTAACCAACCAACCCAACCTCCAGACACCAGCCTCAGTCTCAGACTAACATTTCTCACTATATATATACAACCTGCTGCAAGCGGCTGAGTCATGCTGACCCAGCTTTATTCACATTAAAGAAACAGCGGCCATTTTAGCCGTGACAAGTATCTCCAACAATCAGTGAAATCATGTCTGACCTTACACTTTGAACTTCTTTGAGGTCTCATTTCAACACACACTGTTCTCAGATTAAAGTTCTAAACTTAGAATGCGGAAGTACTCAACTTTTTTTTCTAAATTGTTATTCGTTATTGTTTTACACATTGGAGGTTGTTGGGGGGTTTTTTATACATGTATAGTAGTATTCATAGTTTCTGTGAGAAACCTTCTGTGAGAAAGAATTTTTCCAGAATTCCCTACATACTGTGATACACAGAGACAGAGGAAATAACCAAGGAAGGCATAGAAACTTGTTGAAGTACTATCTCTGTATTAAAACAAAAAGTTCTGTGCAGCATGTATCCAAACCCATCTATATTGTTAGTTCTAGAAAGCTCGCTTATAGATTTTTTCAAAGGGAGGGGGTTGGCAATGCTTTTCTTTTTCTGTAATTTCATTACACCAAGTTGCTGTGAAGATGGAAAAAGATTGTGGCTTATTTCAGCCTATTGAAAACTGAGACATCATATACTTACAATAAAAGATTTGATCCTCTAGTGAGGCTTTCCAGTATGAATCTTTGTTATCAGTTAAAATCATATTCAGAAACATTTAATTGTCCTGAAGATATGAAGGATTAACAATTCCATGGTTTATAACCTAATATTATAACTGCAGAAATAGCTAAACAAAAGCATTTTCTATATAAACTGGCCTCTAGCACCCTCCAATGGATTATGGCAGTATAATAATTTGTTGAGGCAAAGCATAAATAATTTGTCAAAATGTGTGTGTGTGTTTAAGCATCTTGTTACTAAGGCAGCCTTCACCAACTTGGTGCCATGCAGCTGTTTTGGACTACAATTCCCATCAGCCCCAGCAATGTTGGAAAGCTGTACTAAGGGATTCTGAATCAGAAATGAGTTCTATTTAAATCCTAAACTTTAGAAGAGAATCATTCTTAATATTGGATAGAAAAAGAAATGCAGAATACATACTTCAATATCTATATAGCCCTGTACCGCAAGACAGCTCCATGTAATCTACATGCCCTTCCACACAAACTAATGGAGATACATCCCAAATTCCCCCCCTTGCAAGGGCTTTTCTGAGAATGACTGAACTGGCTGGATAATCTTTTGATGGGAATCATCACCCAGTCCCCTGCTGTGATCCAAACAAAAATCATCTCCACACTGCTATTAGCCTTAGCAAAAGGCTCCCATGGCTTTTCTGCTATGGGAGCTTCTCTGCCCGTGGCTAAAAAGGATGGTTTTTGTTGACATGGTGGCCAGGGGAACAAAATGTAAACTTCCCCATTCACTACAGTCTTGTCAAAAATTGCCCTGTGTCTTTTTGTATTACAGTGGTACCTCGGGTTAAGAACTTAATTCGTTCTGGAGGTCTGTTCTTAACCTGAAACTGTTCTTAACCTGAAGCACCACTTTAGCTAATGGGGCCTCCTACTGCCACTGTGCCGGTGGAGCACGATTTCTGTTCTCATCCTGAAGCAAAGTTCTTAACCCGAGGTAATATTTCTGGGTTAGCCAAGTCTGTAACCTGAAGCGTCAGTAACCCAAGGTACCACTGTACTTTCTAAGATGCTGACACAGTTGCTAATGAAACATTAATTGCAACATCTAGGTTAAGCCTTACTTAAGTACAGGCCACACACACCCATTTACGAGCATTCAATACGTGCACAACTGCATACATTTGCATCAAACCGAACCTGGCAATGGCCCCAAAATGTCACAGAACCATCATAAAAGGGGCAGGTGTGGCAGGGATGGAACAGGGTGTTTGCAGGATTTTCCAATGGTGTTTCAAATATACGCAATTTTATTGATGCATGTGGTACCTCGGAATATAATCCCAGCATAAATGGGGGATTGCCTGGATAGGAAGCCATTTTCAAACGAATATCCAATAGCAACTTTTCATATGTCATTTGAAATGTTTTTTTAAAACTTGTTCTGTGAACCGCCCTGAGACCTCCAGGTATAGGGCAGTATATAAATTAAATCAAATCAATAGATAGATAGAAGGGGAAAGTGAGTTCCAGTCTAACATCAGAGGTCTTGTTTCCTTTTGCTATTTGTGTAGAGATTTTTAATGCAGCTCAATAGTCTTTCAATATTATTTCACAAGATCTTTGATTGTAATAAAACCCCAAATCAGTTTGTCATAGGGATATCACATTTTTCAAACAATAACAAACAATTTTCCTAAAAAAATAAATAAATTCCATGTCACATAAGCATATCTATTTATCTATCACTGCCACTGACCTCTCTCTCTTCCACTTATGGTAGGCAATCTCAGGATTGTGTCCACAACTCAAGATCCAAAGGGATGGTCAGGGGCAAATCTACTGGGATTTCTTTTTTCTTTGAACCTGTTTTTGAAACTCTCCTTAATTTCAGAAATGATTCACCATATGGCATGAGAATGTTAAGGAATGTTAATGTTAGTATTAAGGAATGTGAATGGGTTAAGTCCATTGGTGAGGAAAGAATTGGCTCCTTCTGACTCATTTCTGAGATGCTCCTGCCGGAATCTCCTGACTTCCTTATCAGTGTTTCCATGTATATCTGTGTATAATTTGGCTCAGATTATGGTGATGGATCATAGCAGAACTGTGGAGTTATCTGATGCAAAGAGCTTGTCTGAGAAGAAAACTTGGAGACAGGGTGGATTTGATTTAAATCACTAGTCAGTAAGACTTGATTTAAATCACTAGTCAGTAAGACTTGATTTAAATCATTTTTTTACAGAAAGACTCATTCTTGCTGGTATAATCTTAATATTTACAACCAGATGAAGGTTTCATTTTTGGAATAATAAATTTTCAGAGTAGTTTTTACAGTTATATCAAAAATTACTGATTTGATTATACTATTAGAAATACATAAATAATTATGAAATTATTGTGAGGTTTAATAAGTTAACTGTTTATATTTGGACAACTTTTCTGCTATACATTATTGGAAGGAGAAAAATAATCATTTCCTTAATAACAATTTAAACAATTTATTTAATTAAAACAATAACATTATAGCATATGTATCCATGTTTGTTAACTGATGTGGTTAAATGATTTTTTTTAAAAAAAAACTTAGACTGAGTTTTAGCACACATGAAAAACTTTAAACAAATCCTTATTTCCTGATGAATAGCCTTTGGACTCTAATGTAACTTAAATAGAAAGCTATCTTTAGAAAGATTTTTCCTCCAAAAGCATTTTATTTTAAAAATCCAATTTAAAATTTAAAAATCTGATTTTTTAATTATTATTTTTAAAAATCATTGGTTTTTATCCACCCTGCTTGGAGAACTGACAAGCTTCAGGACAAGAGAGCTCCAATCTGTTGCAGGGCTATAAGCAAACGGACTTAAAACTTGCATGTGGACTTTGTTCAACAAGGACTTTGGAGTACAGAAAGCCCCTGTGGGACCAAAGAGAGAAAAGCCTTCATGTAACCTGTATTATCATGTGTAAATACAGAGTGTGTGTTCTGTGCATGCCAAGTAAAACAATTCTGCTTAAAAACAATTGTTTCATGTTGGCGATCTTAATTACTTTGCTGACGCTTCTGTTGCGCACACAGATACATATCAGGGAACACATATCATCTTGAGCACATGAAACCACATGAAACCAGTTGCATTGGCTCCTGGCTATTTTCTTTTCAAATTATGCCCAGCTTTTTCCAGCACTGCAGCTGTCACTGCCATTGTGGCACAGCAGCATCAGCCAATGCATTCTTTGGAGGCTAGATCTGCTGCCCCTGTGAATCCTCACCTTGCCTCATGGGTGGGCCAGCCCTGTCCCACAGGCATCTGGGTGGCCACTGTGAGAACAGGATGCTGAACTAGATGGGCAACCAGTCGTGACCGACTCTGGGGTTGCGGCGTTCATCTCGCTTTATTGGCCGAGGGAGACGGCATACACCTTCCGTGTCCTGTGGCCAGCATGACTAAGCCGCTTCTGGCGAACCAGAGCAGCGCACGGAAACGCCGTTTACTTCCCGCGGGAATGGTACCTATTTATCTATTTGTACTTTGAGGTGCTTTCGAACTGCTAGGCTGGCAGGAGTAGGGACCGAGCAACGGGAGCTCACCCCGCGGGAATTCGAACCGCCAACCTTCTGATCGGCAAGTCCTAGGCTCTGTGGTTCAACCCACAGCGCCACCCGCGTCCCTTTGGATTCACTTACTTAGCTCAAAATGTAACTGCAAAACTTCGAATACCACCCCAGCAATTTAGCTCTATGAGCCTGGGCTCAATGGATGCGGGCAAAGCCTCACTCCTGTCAGCAATTGTGCTGCAGCATTACAGCGTTCCAGACTAGCTGCAGCATCCAGGGCAAGGGCAAGGGAAGCCCCACATAGAGCGCATTGCTGCAACCCAGCCGACCCTCTGCTCCTACGTTTGCATGTGTAGAGTCTGAGGTTTCTTCTTCACAAGCTACAAAATACGGGAGAAGTTGTCGCCAAGGTGTAGGAAGGCGGCACGGTAGCAGCGCCGGCTCTCCTGGCCCCCTCGGAGGCAGCTGAGATTAGCCGGTAGCCGACTAAGAAGGGCGGGGGCTGCACACAGCCCAGGAAATCGCTGCCTCTTTAACAACCGCGGCCCTTGGCCGGAGGGGAGGAGACGGGAGCAGCGGCGGGGGAGTGGGTGGGACCTTCCCGGGGCGCGTGCGCTGGCGAAGTGCTTTATAGCCCGGGACTGCAGCTTGTTGTGGGACGAGGTCGTCTGCGCAGCCGGAGGAGCGTCGCCTGCGGTAAGGCGAGAGGCTTCAGGCAGGCGTGCGCGCGCGGGCGGCTCGGGCGACTGGGGGAGAGACAGAGAGAGAGAGAGAGAGAGAGAGAGAGAACACGGGCAGAACTTGGCCCCTGACGCATTTGGCCGCAAGCAGCACAGGGAGGAGCGCCGCCTCGGGGGTCCTTCTGGCTGATCGGGGCGCGGAGGGGTGGCTGGGGAAATGCGACGCTCGGACGAGGGTCCCCTGCTGGGCTGCAGCGCGCGCTGTAGGCCGGGGACTTGGACGGCCGTCGGGCAGCTCTTGGAAGCGCCGGCTCTCTTGACGTCACCGCTTCCTCGTCGCCGAAGCGCAGCTGCGCTCGGCCGAAATGGTGGCAAAACGGGTCCTGGCGTCGCTGCGGTTCCGGAAAGGGTGGCAGCGGGGGAACTCCTCTCCATAGGATGCAGACCGACTTGCATGACAGCTAGTCGCGAGCACCTCCGTGAGGCCGAATTCTAGAGCAGACGTCAAGGTGGGCGTTTCCTAACGTCGCTATCATCTTCTTTCTTCTTCTTTGGCGATCACTCGTAGCTGAGTAAGATTGTCTTCCATAAACACAATTTTAACAATGAGTCCGTAAGTGACTGTGGAGGCCAATTCTGGATCCACACGTCCTTCCACAGTGGGGACATTGGTTTTCGGGTGGGAGTAGATCACGTGTGGATTTGCCAAGCCTGCCTTCCTCCTAGCACGTTTCTCCCTTGCGACCTGAGTTCGAGTGTCTTCAAAGCCCATGATACCTTTAATAAAGGCTGTTCTCCAACTGGAGAGCTCGCAGGCAAGTGTTTCCCAATTGTTGGTGTTTATACTACATTTTTAAAAACTTGCCTTAAGACAGTCTTTAAACCTCTTATGTTGACCACCAGCATTACTTTCCATTTTTAAGTTCGGAATAGAGTAGTTGCTTTGGAAGACGGTCATCAGGCATCCGCACAACATGACCAGTCCTACGAAGTTGATGTTGAAGAATCATTGCTTCAACACTGGTGATCTTTGCTTCTTCCAATACACTAGTATTAGTTCGCCTGTCTTCCCAAGTGATATGTAAACATTTTTGGAGACCCCGTTGATGGAATCTTTTGAGGAGTTGGAGATGGCGTTTAAGCTTGTGAAACATGGATCACTTATAATGTTAAGATGCTTCTAGCAAGGGATTGTTCAACCCTTGGGAAATCGCTTTTTATGAGGTAGAGCTTATCTATTCCAGGCTCAGCCCAAAGAGGTCTTTGGGCAAAAGTAGGCTTTATTTGACAAACCAAGGATTCTTGGCTGGGATACAGTTAAAGTGAAATACTTTGTTGGTTCCTTTGACTTCAGTTGTGTAGCAATTTCTTCTTTTAATGCGGGGGGGGGGGGATTACTTACGCAGATGGTGGTACGCATGTATGTCCTGAAAGGGAAGCAGGCTGTGGGTAGCTGGAAGCTATATCATGTAGTGTCAGTTTCTCAGCTTTTGGCATATTGTAGACAGCAACAATGACCAAAACAGTCTACTAAGACCTCACATCCAAAAAACTGTGTGTACGATTGCACTTGCTCAAGTTTCTTGAGTTGATCAAAAGTGCATAATTTTGACTGGATTGAACCAAGTTGGTCCCTCCAGAAAGCATGAGTAGTAAACCAAATAACACCCATAATTTATACATGGTGGTAGATTGCAAAGATTCAAATGGATTTCTGTAAAACACACCCACGTCTTTGTCACTCTACTGTGTCTCTAAAAGTAGCAGAACTTGAAAAGCCGTTTTGCAGTCTGAGGAAAAGTGAGAAGGTTCTTGTAATAATTGAGACAGCAGGCAGTATATCAGTAAACATTTAGGCAGCTTGGAAGCACTTACTGCTGAAACCCAGGACATTTTTATTTGTGGTTAGTAGATGTATTCAGGGCTACATGAGCACACATTGAATTGAGGCCAAGATGCATGAGCCTCTGGTTGGCCATATCTCGCAAGCTAATCCAAATATAATTAAGTGAAAGAATGAAAGAATATACAGTAGACCCTCTGGATATGGATTTCATTCGTTCCGAGGGACCATGTGCACCCCGAAAAATCTGTAAGCAGCACGCAGAGCACTTCTGCCCATGAGAAAGCAGTGAAACCCGGAAAAATACTTCCAGGTTTGCCGCTTTCGCAACCCGAAGATTATGTCTCCAGAGAGGTACGTAACCCGAGAGTCCACTGTAATGAAAGACTGGATCAAAAACTAGAGCTGCTGAGTTGCTAATCTGTTCATAGTTATCAAAAGATATATTAATGGACATAATTCTGTTGACCTTTTGGAGATGCTTTGTGGTGGGAAGTTTCACTTGGATCCATGGGCGTAGCCAGGATTTTTATTGGGAAGGGCAGGGCTTTTGTTTCGGGGGGTGCAGAACCAAAATGATTGGTAAGTTAGTTAAATATTTCTATTGTTTTACTTGATCTAGGGGGGCAGCTGCGCCCCCTTGGCGCTACGCCCATGCTTGAATCCTTTTTGGGTTCTTTTATCTGTGTTGCTCAAATCCTTATGTGGCCCCCTTCAGTCATAAGGGCTAAAAATTTACTGTTAAAAACTGAAGGCACAGGCTTTCTGCCACTTCGTTTATTAGATCTTGTGTTTGTGCAGTTTGCAATGCAGTTCTTATTAAGAAGAGCAGATCACAATCCTCTCTTTTCCCAAGCTTTTAAAAACTGCATGACAATCAGGAAAACAGCAGCTTCAGCTTTTCTCTACTTTTCTATGCTGGGAAAAGTATTGGTTGCTGACATTGCTACCTCTTCTAGCAGTATTGCTGTCCATCACACTTCTGTCCTGCCTTTTGCTGTTCCTGCCAACAACAACTTCTGCTCCTGTGGTTCTGTGTGAGCTCACCCCACCCCATTGCACAGTGTGCTGATTTCCTCAGTTTCCTCTCTTTTCCTTAGGTCCTTGTTTTCTTTATGGACTCTTTTCCTACATTTGTATTCCTGATGATCATGAATGTTTCAATTTACTTCTTTTCCAGCTTTCCTAGACAGCACACACTCAAAAACTTGACATTTATTCATGGCAGTTGAATCTAACTCATCTTTTTAATCACTGAACAGCTAGTTTGAAATATATATATATATTGTCCAAGATGAACTTCTTCCTGGAAACACTCAGAGTCATTGGACTGTCAGTATATTTTATACTGGAGAGTTTCGTCTTATTATTCATCCCTGTGCGGAAGAAGAATGTGACTGGGGAAATAGTGCTTATCACGGGAGCTGGAAGCGGAATCGGAAGGCTGATGGCTCTGAAGTTTGCTCGTCTTGGAGCTACATTGGTACTCTGGGATATCAGTGTAGAAGGCAACAAAGAGACAGCCAGACTGGCAAGGAAAAATGGAGCTGCGAGAGTGCACAACTACACTTGTGACTGTAGCAAAAGGCAGGAGGTCTATCAAGTAGCAGATCAGGTAACTTTGTTTTGCAAGTGGAGTTTTATTTTGCATAACGTTTTATCTAGTCCTCAGTTTCACATATGCCCAGCAGCATGTTCATGTGTTGCAAGATACAACCATAAACACAGCTTCACTGTGCTTAGCTGCATTTGTATGAAGCCACCATATCAACCTGATACTACCAACCCTTTGGTTTATTCTTCATAGCTGCTCCAACTATTCACTTCTTCAGTCCTTTGAAAGAGTTGGAGCAGCTTAATAGTGACCCTGAAGGTAAACAGTAATGAGGCAAACCAGAACAAACGTACCTTCATTCAGAATTACGTTTGGCTGTTGTTGGTTTTTTAATACATCATAATGCAACCAATGCTTTGATCTCTTGGGTGTAATAATCACCCGTGTGGTATAGGAGTTGCTGCTATTAGACACCTTCTCTCGCCACAGGCAACTCAAGGCTTCTGTTACATTTGTTGTGGATATTCTACATCCATAGGGTGAATTACTGTTTTTCCAATTCCATGACTGCTTCATATTTGGAACTATTAACCACACTGATTAGCATCATTCCATTGGGAGGTCCTTGCCCCACCTGGGGATTACATAGAAACACATAAACAGGCATTTACAGGTGAAGAGAGAGAGAGAGCTCTTCAAGGAATGTGTGGGAGAGATTGGTTTGTTCTTTTTCAAGAGTACTAATGGGATTATTTTTTATTTCACACACCCTGATGAATAATCAAAAGTGAGAAGTTGCCCACATCAATTTCTCTGGTTTCGATATGTATGCACAGGGCCAGAAAGTCTCGTATCTTGGTGTCTAATCTGAGAGCAGCTTTTTAATCTCCAGTAGAAGTATGTTGCTTCACGAGCTACCTGAACCTCTCAGTGGAGGCATCAAGGACTGGCAATTTTACAGTGCAGTTCTATATACATAGGCACAAACTATATGGGGCCCTGTTCCATTTGCCAATATTTAAAGGGGAGATAAAAATTGTGTTGACTGTTTAGAGTTGAACCTTGTACATGGCTTAGACAAAGGGATTGTGCCCAGGAAGGCAGTCTAGACATTGTGCAATAAATAAATGTGTGGGAACTTCTGCATGCAAAGCCCATGCCCTCCCTAAGTGATGTCTCTTGAAACTGCAGTCATGAAAATGGTTTTCTTTGCTTTGCTTATGTTAACTGTGAAAGAATCCTTATAGATGTAGAATCCATTGTCACTCTGAAAATCTACCAAAGTGGTTTGAGGGTACAATTTAAAGTGGAGAAATGGTAGCTGTGAATGTGTTTTCAGTGGACCCTTCTTTCCTCTCTCAATCCCCTGCTTTCTCTTTCTTGGGATCTGTGAAGTCAGAGGATGCCCTGCTAGGGGAAAGAGGAAGGGGGTGGGGGTTCAACATCCACCTCTAGTTCAAACCACTGCCCAATACCAGTTCTTACAGTGACCCAAAATCTAGCTTCATTTTGCAAAATATTTACTTGAAAAATGGTAAGACAGTTTTATACCTTAACATAAAGGAGCTATAGTGCTTCTAATTCTGAAGGGGTAGGAGTTTTTAATTGTAAGAAGCATTTGATTCTGGCTTCTTCTTTTTTTAAACAATATGTTAAAAGAACTGGCATGCAAAAATGGTTTAGAAAAACCAGCCTGAGAACACTGAGGCTTTGTTACAAAAACTGTTAAACCAAGAGAACAACATCTTGACAATATGAAGAATCATGCAAATCCCTTTATATGCAGAGTCATGTACAGACATTGGTTTTCTCTTTTTAACTATTAAAATTTGTCATAGTTTGAAACATCCTCTGATAAGATGTTGTTGTCCTAGGTGAAAAAAGAAGTCGGTGATGTTAGCATCCTGATTAACAATGCTGGCATTGTGACGGGAAAGAAATTCTTGGACTCTCCAGATGCAATGATACAGAAGTCTATGGAAGTGAACACAATGGCACACTTCTGGGTAATAGCATTTGTGATTTAAAATTTGTGATTTTAACTATGAAAGTATATTTGCACTTGGATTGGGCTTTGATTAGTAAAATGCAGGCTTGCAGTTGTGTTAACAGATGCTCCATCCACGTTTATCAGAATGTAAAATGAGCGCTACTCATTTCATGTATTATGTACTACGTAATGCAGGCCTGGTGGATCAGGCCACGGGCCCCTCTAGTCCAGCATCCTTTTCTCAGTGGCCAACCAGATGCCTGCAAGCTTGGCATGAGCTGTAGTCCATCTAGTTTAACAAATCACCTGGACTAAAAGTCATTTTCTCTGTAAATGAAATCTGTGAGTTCAGAGGGAGTAAAAGCACCCTGATTAAATCCCATCATCTCCTTACAAAGGATCGGAGAGTAGCCGCATCGATGGGATCCAGGGGATTTGGGAAAGTGCACATCTGACATCCTAACTTCTGTCCCAAGTAACTGGTAGTAAATATGATTAAGATTAGTAATGTTTAAACACATCTTACATGAGGATAAACATGGCCTTGGCAAAGGGAAGTGCTGCCTCACTTTTTTTTTAAAGTATTTAGACTTCAATAAAACCCAAATGACTAAGTCCCTTGACCAAGGCTCTGGAGTAAATTTAGTCACAGTTTTAATAGAAAACCCAGTTATGTCAGTTAAATATTTTGTTGTTTTTGTCTAGCACTCGTCATGCTCTCCTGGTCACTGAGCACCATAGATATAACCATTTTGGATTGAAAACTGAGTTTAAAGAACAGGTAGCTGAGAATAGGAATAAATGGACAGTTTCTTTTTCTCAGTGGAAGGAGCTAAGCAGTGAGGGCACCTCAAGATTTAGTCAGTTTTAATAGAAAACCCAGTTATGTCAGTTAAATATTTTGTTGTTTTTGTCTAGCACTCGTCATGCTCTCCTGGTCACTGAGCACCATAGATATAATCATTTTGGATTGAAAACTGAGTTTAAAGAACAGGTAGCTGAGAATAGGAATAAATGGACAGTTTCTTTTTCTCAGTGGAAGGAGCTAAGCAGTGAGGGCACCTCAAGATATAGAGCAGACCAGTACTATTTAGCTTATTGCTTAATAATCTAGATTAGGGAATGAGCAGTAAGGTGGTCAGGCTTACACATGAAACAGTTGTTCACGACAATGAAGAACTAGGTGGAAAGGAAATAAAACATGATCGGGTGTCAGTATAAACTGCAGTTATCCACAGAAGCACTTGAGAAGGATGCCATAGCAACAGCCCCTCTTTGCCCTGGCAAGCATCCACTTCTTCCTCAGACAAGTGGATGAACTGATAAGGCTTGCTTGCACAGGCTTTTAATTATTGGCACAGAGTCTAAAGGTCTGGAGATGCAGGTAGCCAAGCACACTTGGGAGTGTGCAAATCTTTACCAAGCAGGGACTCAGGATCAAAGTGCACGTTCTATAAAAGCATGCTGCTCTGTGTAATTTGAAAGAACTTTGAAGGAAAAGTAGCCAAGTGGACAAGTAGAAATTCCTTAGAAGAGCAGCCAAGGCTGCCTTTTACTTGCTCTCTCCCTCTGGGTGGTCCCAGTGGGCTTATCACTATACTGGCCCAAGAAGAGGAAAGGGGATGGGTGGAGCCTTTCAGAGAAAGAGGGCAAAAGGCAGTGGCGATCATTCACTTCCCTGTTCTTTGCAGCTGAGAGAGAAGCAAGGAGTATCCTCCCCCATCTTCCCACATGCCCCCTTACTGGGCAGTGGAGTGGGGCCCTGTCTGCTGTGCTCAGGTGAGCAAGTAAGAGGAGGGTGTGCCTGATCTTTCCAGCGCTGACTCCCTGTGCCTTGACACTGAAAGAGGAAGGATTAGAGAGCAGGTGAAGGCAGCTGCTTGTTATTTTTCTCTGGGCATCACCATGGCCCCCTTCTTCCTTGCATGGCTCCCTCCCTGGAAGTGGCAGAGCTCAGTGGAGATGGGGCTGATGAGGAGGTAGGGTGTTTCAGGGGACACCCCTCCTTCTCCAACTTTTCTGGGAAAAGGAAACCGTGATTTGCTTTTTGCTCTTTCGTAGCTTGCCTTTTCCCTCAAAAGTGACAGCGTTAAGCATGCTTTGAGTAAATTTAAGACTTGAATCAGAGCCAGGTTATATTAAATCTCTCTTTCTCCTTGATAGGATTTCTAGCACTGTGTAAAACCTCTTGCAGAATGAACAAGCATTTTGAAACTGAGTGTAAGGTCATCTAGCTTGCCATCAGACATGTAATATTTACATTATTGGCAGGAGAGCATGAACATGCTCAGGGTGTGCTGCAGCCTGGTTGTTCACACTGACAGGCCACACTAAGTTCAATGGAACTTTGTCCCATGCAGAAGTGTTATAATTTGAATACAGCATTCCCCACCCTCACCCCACCCTTTTAAACATTTATTTTAAAATACTGAATAAAGGTATAACCAATGGGGCTGTTGCATATCTTTGAGACCTGGGAGCACCTGTAGACCTCAAGCCTGATCAGACAGGGTGACTTTTTAATGTCAGGGTGAAGACAGACACACATTCAAAAGTATGGTGGAACTTACATTCCCTGCACCGTGGGGCATTTGTTTTTCAGGACAGAGGTCTATATTCAGCATTGCACTAAAGAGATTGTTCCATTTCTGCTTGCTCAACAGTATAATGCCCTCTCTCTGTGTCCTGTTCTGAGGGTTCTCCCAACCCTCTGGAGCAGATATGGGAAGGGTTGTGGGGTATACACAGGGGGAGGAGAAGGCCTAGGTTGCTAGCAGAAATCCTTGCACTGGCTCCTTCTAGCGCAACAATTTAGAGAATGTTGTTTTGGTGTTGTATTTTTACGGTAACTTTTAACATCAGTTTTCAAACCATGTACACCATGCTTGGAATGTCTCCGCATTTTCACACTTTGCTTCTGTCTTAACTACAGAAGAAATCAGAAGCTGGAATTTGTTCTGGGGGTATGATGCTATTGATTTTTTACTAGAAACTGGAAGAAGTTCTGATTTCAGTGGTGCAAACAAGTGCTTAAAAGGCCCAGTAGGATTGGTGAGCAATGGAAAATGGATGTAAGATGCATGTAGAGGAGTGATGCACTTCAACATGATGTTGTCTGAAAAGTGTTTTGTGTTTGCAAGTAATAGTAGAAATTAAAAGAGTTCTGTATAAAATCTGTATTTCTGTATCCACTTGCTATAATTGGAAATGGGACTAAACTGTGGTAAGTTTTTCAGCAGAACAGTCTGTTTGTTTTAAAAAAAAAAATCAGGCATCTAGTGCTACTAGCAAGTTTTTTTGTTTTGATTAAATGGTAAGTCTGTAGTTTAGATGTGAAACATTTGAAGAAGAATAAATTCTTGCAGGTGTGAAATCCATAGACTAAACTAGGTGGTATTTCTGAGCATGAAATAACAAATAAACTTGCAGTATTTAGCTTCTTAGATTAGAAAAAAAGAGAAATATTTAATCTAATAAAGGTAATGAAACTGAACAGCAGCAAAAACTGTCACTGCCAAAAACTAATTTGGCAGCATCCTGGAGCCCTCACGCCTCATTCTCCGTACACTGGTGCCTCACTTAGCAGGCTTTGGGGATGAGGTGTGACACTGCCAGAGCCCTTGTGCTACCTTCTGAAAGCCCAGTAAGCAAGGAAAATCCACTGAGTGGGGGAAATAAATAAATGGATAGTGGAGAATGGCGAGTTTCCCACGTTCTTTTTTTATATATATATATTCCCTACCCTTGCGAAGCTGTGGATGTAGGAAAGTAGCATAAGTTTACTGTACGGTACCTCAGGTTACAGACGCTTTGGGTTACAAACTCCACTAACCAAGAAGTGGTTGCTCCAGGTTAAGAACTTTGCCCCAGGATAAGAACGGAAATTGCACACCAGTGGCGCAGTGGCAGCAGGAGGCCCCATTAGTGAAAACGCGCCTCAGGCTAAGAACCATTTCAGGTTAAGAATGGACCTCTGGAACGAATTAAGTTCTTAACCCAAGATACCGCTGTACTTACTTGTGCTTGGTTTTTGTAATTTATTACAATGAACGCTCGGGTTGCGAACGTGATCTTCGCAACCCGCAGCGTTCACAACCCGCAGCGCCGCATCTGCACACATGTGGGTTGCTATTCGGCGCTTCCGCGCATGCACAAAGCACGATTTAGTGTTTCTGCGCATGCGCGAGCACCGAAACCCAGAAGTAACCCGTTCCGTTACTTCCGGGTTTGGTGTGGTGCGCAACCCAAAAACGTGCAACCTGAAGCGTCTGTAACCCGAGGTATGGTACTATGAAATGTAAACCACTACGATGTTGATTATGATGATGATGAAAAGAGTAGAACATCTTGCCTTTTCCCACATAAATGCTATTTCTATAAACATTGACCCTGTACGGCCTACAGGAATAGCCTCTCCTCCGGCATGCAACATGCCTCTCGATAATTTTCAATAAGATGGCTGATAAAAACTCACTGCATGGATAATTTATTGCTTTTGCTACCTGTTTCGTTTGTAATTTGTTGTTAATTTTATCACCCTGGGACTCTTGAGTGAAAAGCTGATTGTAGATGCCTCAAGTAAATAACACGTAGTACTAACTGATGCTAAGTAGCAACAGCAGAAGTCCTGTGCCCAAGATCGCCCAGGAAGGTCCTGGCTGGGGTTAAATTGTTAGAGGGAGTTTGTTCACTATGCTAGCACATGCATCCATGCATATTTATTTGTTATCGTATGATTGGTTATCTTTGTTTGTTTGTTCTCTAGACCGCCAAAGCATTTGTTCCAGCCATGGTAGCTTCTAATCATGGACATGTGGTAACTATTTCAAGTGCAGCTGGCTTAGTTGGCGTTACAGGACTGGCAGGTTAGTACACATCAGATGCACCGATGAACAAACAAAATACACAAACCACAGATCCTTTCATCTCTTTTAGACGTGTGGTCCAACAGGTGGATAAACAGGGGCTTCTCTGATGTAGAAATAGAAGTCTCACACAGCTATATGGAAGCAACTGGGGAGAGCCAAGAATGATCTGCTCTTGTAGATGGCACCAGTAATGATAGATTAGATTGTAGGTCCAGAGAAGTTGGTAGCAGAAGCAGTTTCATTAAATGTTCCTACTAAGGCTAGCATGCCAGGTGATAGGTGCAGATAGGCCTCTGAACACTGAGTCTTCAGATTAATTGTCGTATGTTAGCGTTAAGCTACGATGGGTAGCTTTGGCAGGAATAGAAGTTAACTGGGAGATGGGAACCAACAAAGGAAATACTTTACCAAAAAAGGACAATGAAGAGTGTAACTCAGAGGATGGGGAACATGTTGCTCCCCTGATGTTAACTCCCATCTGTCCCACCCAGCATAGCCAATGGTCGAGAATGATGGGGAGCTGCAGTCCAGCAACATCTGATGGGCCACAGGTTCCCCCATCCCCTAAATGCATGCACTGACAAGGCTGCAGTAAATAACTGAGGAATGTGCTAGCAGTCTGAAGAAAGCTAGAAGCTTTTGAATGATGATTGTGGAGAAATGTTAGAACATTACAAATAATCATTGCCAGTACCTGTGTTGTCACTTGTGCATTGGGCCATAGATGTTTGTGCGGGAAAGGATCTTGCATAGGGAAAATGGTGTACAGTCATACCTCAGGTTACAGATGCTTCAGGTTGCAGTTTTTCAGGTTACAGACCGTCGAAACCTGGAAGTAGCGGAACAGGTTACTTCCGGGTTTTGGCGGTCGCGCATGTGCAGAAGCCCCGAATCGCATGTGCGCAGACACGCAACTGCGGGTTGCGAGTGCTGTGGGTTGCGAACGTGCATCCCGCACAGATCACGTTCGCAACCCGAGCATCCATTGTACATGCAAGCAAACAGTGGCATAGCGTGGGGGGTGCAGGGGGAGCCGGCCGCACCGGGTGCAACATCTGGGGGGGGGCCGCGCTAATCCAGTGGAAGAGACTCGAGTGCTAAAATCCACGGGTTAGGGGGCGCAAATTACTTGCCTTGCCCCGGGTGCTGACAACCCACGCTACGCCACTGCAAGCGAAGAGCCAATCAATGGCACAGGTGGCTTTCAATGTGTTCATAATTTTCAAATTCATTCCCAGTAATCTCTGTGTTAGTCCTAGTTCTATAGAAAGTTCTGTAGAAAATCAGACTTAAACCAGGGAGCCCTGAATTCATATCCTTACTTAGCCATGAAGCTGACCATGTGTCACTGGGCTAGTCAATCTCTGTTGATGTAATCATCCTCATACAGTTGTTCTGAGTTCATTCAACATTACTCTCTAATCAGTTTAAAAAAAAAAAAAATACCACCTATAATTGCATGAGACTGTTGAAACCATTAAACCAGGATTGCCAACTATTTTGCATGTAGGCCATGTCACAAAAGGTCCTGTTTTTAATACATTGCTTTACTCAGATATTGTCCTGCTGCAATGTTTCTAGATCTTTCCTCTCGTTTCACAGATTACTGTGCAAGTAAATTTGCAGTAGTTGGCTTCGCTGAGTCTCTAGCTATAGAGATGTTGGCATTGGGAAAGACTGGTGTTAAATCCACAATTGTCTGTCCATTTTTCATAAACACGGGAATGTTTGATGGCTGTCAAACCAAGTGAGTTAACTGTTTATATATTTGTGTCCATATAATGTTAAAATAATTGTATAAGAGAAATGCTGAAATGGTGAAGATTGATTGAAACATAACCTAAGGCCTTGGAGAGCCACTGTCATTTAGAGTAGACAACAAGGGGCCCAAAAAAATAATCTGCCCTATTATAAGGCTGCTTCCTGGGTTCCTGTATGCTCAAATCTGCATGATATACATAAATTAAACAGCAGGTTCGCCATAGTAGCATATATGCTCTGAGAGAAGTGGCACTTCTTGAATTTGTGCCTATTGTGTCACTCTGCATTTGACGGATAACTGTTGAGGATGGCATTTTATTTATTAAGTTTCTATCCAACCATACCTTCCAGGGCAGTACACAGCAAAACAATAAAATAATATAAACAATATGCAGTATAAAAGTATACTACAGTCGTACCTTGAAAGTTGAATGGAATCCGTTCCAGAAGTCCGTTCGACTTCCAAAACATTCAGAAACCAAAGTGTGGCTTCTGATTGGCTGCAGGAAGCTCCTGCAGCCAATCGGAAGCCACGGTAGCCCCATTGGACTTTTGGCTTCCAAAAATAGTTTGCAAACCAGAACAGGTTTGCAGCGTTAGGGAGCCAAAACGTTCAAGAACTAAGCTGTTCAAAAACCAAGGTAGGACTGTATTTAAAACCATTTAAACTATTTAAACTATTAAACAACTTTTAAACATTTAAACGAGAGGGATAGCTCTGTTGATAGAGCATGAGACTCTTAATCTCAGGATCGTGAGTTTGAGCCCCACGGTGGGCAAAAAAAATCCTGCATTGCAGGGGGTTGAATTAGATGACACTTGTGGTCCCTTCCAACTTTACACTCCTATGATTCTATATCTAAAAATTTGCAGCCCAGAAGATCCTCCTGTCTCCAGAGGTGGGCCAATCTAACTGTTCCCCCCTCCTCTACAGTGAGGATCAACCACAGGCAATCCAGACTTCACCACAGAATGATCTGTTAATGATGGCAGCGTGATGATCTCGATCTCCCCCCCCCCCCGTCTCTCACACAATCACTAGTTCTTTCCCAGTATCCTCTGTAGCAAATACCAGATCTAGGTATGTGTGTCAGCTGTTCAAAGTGTTAACCTGATGGTCATGGCAGCCATGAAGTCCTGAGTGGACCCAAGCAAAGGGTACTCAGCATGGGTATTGAAGAGACCCAAGACTCGTGTCCTGGGATTCTTTAACACCATACTGTCTCCACCAGCTCGGTCCTGAAGATGGTTGGGCAGTGGGGTGGATGGTAGCACCCACAAGATCCCTGTCCTGCCTCTGTAGCCCGACATCATGTACAAACCCAGATCCCAGATGGACTGGCCTCCTAGCCAAGTTGTGGGTTTTTTTGTGGGCTGACCCAATGTTTCAAAACAATACCATCAGATAGGACAGATCAACTTGGCTACTGGGGAGTGATTAAGAAGGGGCTATATATGTCGAGTCTCCCACTCTCTTCTATGAGGATCTGTTTTTTCTCCACCTGTATACAGTCTCAACCCTCACGCCAAATGATAGAGGTCTTCGGATGACAGGTCTTCTCAAATATTTGCCCTGAAAAAAATGCCCTTTGAAAGTAATAAGGGGAAATCATATTGAAGAAAGAATAAATGATTTCCCCCCTGTTCGGAATGGTGCTGTACTAGGCAGCAGTCTTCATATCTGAAACTCATTGGTACAGGTGATAACTGTGGGGAACTCCTGACCATTGAGAAGTTCTCTTACCTGCTTTATCTCTTCAGGTGGCCACGGTTCCTGCCTGTTATGGATCCAGACTATGCAGTTGAAAGAATTGTCTCTGGTATTCTGCGAAATCAGGTGTATGTCTACATCCCGCGTAGCATAACCCTTTTGATTGCACTGAAAGGGTAAGAATGTCATTTTCCTTTTGCATCCGTTTTTCGTACATTTCTTTCTTGCTCTGAAGCCTGGCAGCAGGCAAGAGAACTGTTAGGGCATAAAAATATTTAAAATATTAACAGATTGAAAAGGGTCTTCTCAGTGATATGGGGAAATCTAAGCATTGTGTTTAGAGGCAAAGCAGCAGGCAAATGAGTACTAGGATCTCCCAATTCTTTCAGAGAGTTTTTGGTATATTCATTTCTCTATTGTTCCAAATCTCCAATCTCTGGTCACACCTGGGGCAATAAGGTCTATTGTCTTGTTAACGACCCACAATGGCTTTCTTAGGTGTTATGTACTGAAGTTCTCACCCTGGGCCAGCAGGGGGATACTGTAGATAGATAGTTCAGGTCCACATATGCAAATAAGGGATCGAAAGTGACATTCAGTGATTGGATAGTTACAGAAAATGATTACTGTTGCGTTCTAGTGGAGCTCTATATAAGCAGGCTGGCTGAACGCTTCAGTTCAGTCCTGTTCTGGCCTGTGAATAAACAAGAGCTGTTTGAAGAATCACTGTGTCGTCTGATATGTTCACCCACAACTTAACATTAAGGGCCCTAGTTTGGCCAGGCTACCCAGGAATTCCTTTCACAGTTTATATTCTCCCCTTGTATTACAAATAACCCAAAATCCTAACGCTTATTAATTTCAGTGTTTAGGGGGAAACCCGTCCTCCCCCAGTTTTGTAACAGTATGATGCAGCTGCTTCGGACAGCAAGGTGACTTGGGACAGATATGGGTGGAAATGACTTACTTTCACAAGTGTCAGTAGAAATCTGAAAGAAAGGCAGGTGTTAAGGCAAAAACTCGTCTGGCAATTTTTACTCTTAAAATCTTGGTGTGACAAACTACCTTCCCTGGCCTTGTCCACAGGCCCCAAAGAAGGCAGGAGGAGTGACTTCAGGACCAAGCTATATAAAAATGGTTAGGACTCCAAACACTTTACTCAGTAGTTGTGGAAGACGTCAGTTTGCTTGGGCAAAGCTGCAGGGACAGTTAACGCAACCCGCATTCTCCATGCTTTGCTAGGTAAAGGTGAAGGGACCCCTGACCATTAGGTCCAGCCGTGGCCGACTCTGGGGTTGCAGCGCTCAACTCGCTTTATTGGCCGAGGGAGCCGGCGTACGACTTCTGGGTCATGTGGCCAGCATGACTAAGCCGCTTCTGGCGAACCAGAGCAGTGCACGGAAACACCATTTACCTTCCCACCGGAGCAGTACCTATTTATCTACTTGCACTTTGAGATGCTTTCGAACTGCTAGGTTGGCAGGAGCAGGGACCGAGCAACGGGAGTTCACCCCATTGCGGGGATTCGAACTGCCAACCACCTGATCGGCAAGTCCTAGGCTCTGTGGTTTAACCCACAGCGCCACATCAGTCTCTAAATCCTCTGTCTTTCCTAACAATGCTCTGTGACCTTGAAGGGGGTGGGATGATACATAGGTGTCTGAATCCTTTTTCCCCCCTGTGAGAATCCAAGCAACTTGAGTTGGGGAGGACCTTAAGTTCTAGAAAAGCAGGATGGGGAGAAGCATGCTAGATAGACCACATGATGTGGCAGCTTCCTGCTGCAAGTGAATACCTCTGGATTGTGAAATGTTGCACTGAATTTATTATCTGGAAAGGATTCAAGTGCCTTTTGTGGGAGGGGAAGAAAATATGCAGGTACTGACATGAGATAAATGTAAGGAATAGAAAGGTATTATTATTATTATTATTATTATTATTATTATTATTGCATTATTTTTACATATGTCTGAACGCCTGCTTTCCTGTAGGATTCCTGTCTCTTCAAAATCACACAACTTTTAGAAATGAGCAGGAGAAGCTGCCTTTATTTCTTTTTATATATTTGTTTAGAAGCATTTCTAAACTAGTCAGTATTTTAAAATGCCTGAGTGGTATACAAAAATACCAACATAAAAATGATAAAACAGACAGAATAAATATGCTTCTGTCCTTAATTTTTGACAGTTATGCTTCTCATAATAGCTGCCTTATATCCCTGGAAGAGAGAAATAGATGTCTGTATTATTACTTTTCCCACAAGGTGTAACAGGACCTTTAGATGTATGGGCAGGAGCTGGATCAAGGGAGTTGTGTGGAGGTGATGAGCTAAATGAATGGCATTTGAGTAAAATATACTATTTCAGGAGCTCTAATCTTCTATGCCACATGTGTTTTGGTCCTGAGGTGCAAAAAAAGGGAGACATAATAAGTAAGGGCTGTATAAAATGAACAGCAGAGGGAGAAGTTAGGTCAGGGGTCAGCAAACTTTTTCAGCAGGGGGCCGGTCCGCTGTCCCTCAGACCTTGTGGGGGGCCAGACTATATTTTGAAGGAAAAAATGAATGAATTCCTATGCCCCACAAATAACCCAGAGATGCATTTTAAATGACACATTCCACTCATCCACGGGCCGCATTTAGAAGGCGTTTGGGCTGGATCTGGCCCCCGGGCCTTAGTTTGCCTACCCATGAGTTAGGTAGTTCTTGTGGTTTGTGGAGGGTGTGGTTCTGGAAGAGAAATGTGTGACAGGTACAGCTTTCTTTCTTTTTCCTGCTTCTGGACGCCCAAGACAGCTGTAGCCAAGAAAGCCTTTGGCTCACTCTGGTTGGTGATTTCCCTGCATCTTAGTCTGGGCCGATCTTACTTAGCCCCAGTAACATGTGTCTTGGTTACATCAGGATTGGATTAACATGACAGTGATGCCTTTGAAGCGTCTCCAGAAAGTTTTGAGAATGCAGCAGCCAGGGTTTTCAGAGCATATTGTTGCCCTTCCTGAACACCTGCACTGATTACTGTTAAGTTTCCAAGGAGCATTCGGATGTGCTGGTTATTAAGCCCTACATGGCAGGGGTCCAGGATTCTTAAGAGACTGCCATGCCACCCTGCCTGTGCTCTGTTGGGAAAGTTCTTCAGGCCCTGCACAGGCTGGTACACACATGAAAGGCTGAGGGCATGTCTTAGTTGTGAATCTCTTCCACAGGAAGGCCCTCTGCTCCCTCAACTTATTTTGGCTCATCTGGTTCCAGATGGTTTTGTGTTGTTGTTATTAACCTGTCCAGGTTATGTATTGATGCTTGCCTTTTTAATCACCTGCCTTTTGATTTTCCAGTTCTGTGGCATGTCTGTGTGTTTTTAGTTTGCTTTAATGAACTTATTGTTGGACACCTTGAGCATTATGTGCTAGTGGAAAGGTGGGAAAGGAAATAAAACAATGGTGCCAAAGCAGAAGAGAACCTCAAAGTTTGACACTCATCATGCCTGTGTTCTTTCTTTCTTTTTCCCCAGTTTAATACCTACAAAAGTTGGTATGCTTCTCGGAGACTATATGGGGTATTTCCATTTTATGGAGACATTCACAGGTCGTGCAAATAAGATTGAAGACAATAAATCTCAGTAAACAGCAACAAAAATTCCAACTTTGACTTACCTCCTGAGTGTCAGACATGTGGAACTCCTATAATGCCAATACTTAATGTGTGTGCCTGAAACATCAAAGATAGCATGACTTGTTAGTAAGAAATAAAATTATTTTTGAACTAAATTTCACTGATGGTGGAATATGAATGATTTTTAATTACAACTCTTTTTAGAACTGCTGCTATGTCCTTGTTGTATGTAGCTTGTGAATTAAGTGATTTTTATTGCAATAAAAAAGTAAATCTTGGAACAAATTTGTATATATTAAGGCTTTTTGAGCTTTACTTTTTCATGTACAAATTAAACAGCAGCAATAATTTTAAAAACTGTTTTTCTTAATAAATGATTTCTCTAACTCCTGAAGTCATATTTATCCTGTGTATTTTTGTGTGTCTGGCCTAACACTTTTAATATGCGTGAAATGGGAAGTACAGTAATTTTGGTAACAGAATAGTGTAATATTGATGTACTCATTTGTGTATCTAATTTTGTCTTCCAGCTTTGTGAGGTTCATTTGGCAGGAGCCACTTAGTGAGCTTCATGATGAAGAAGAACTTTATCTTGAGCCTTCTGTGAACCAACTCTCCTCTCTGCCCATTACATACAGGCAGAGACCATTTAGCACACGTCCAAGTGACATGTGACCACCAATGTGTGGGTCCTTTTGGACCTCAGAGAGGGCAGAACGGGGGATGGGGCAAGCTTATGCACACCCCACCAACACATGCGGGAACCAGGAACAAAACACCTGTGCAAAATGGTCGCTGTGTGTACTATCTAATATTAACAGTTGATGGTATATTTTTACTTTACATTGTTTATGTACAAGTAACAGCTACAATTAATTTTCTTTTTAATTAATTTACTTTCTTACATTTAGCAATGCAAATGTTTCAGAGATACAAAAATAACAATGACTTGCCTGTTTGACATCATCTGTTCCACAGCTTAAGAAAAAAAATGATGCAGAATTGTTATTGCAGAGAGTTAAAAGCAATGCTGTGAATAATATCACGATTCTGTGGAAGCACAACAGAATGATCAATAGTAAATCCTGGAATATAATATAATCCAGATAAAATTATACTTTGCAGAAACTTTAAAGCCTTAATTTTGTCTTTTGACATAAGCTGTGAATGACCACCATGTAACTGCGTAGAACGAGTGAGTTTTTAGGCTATTGTGATAAATAAGACCTCCTTAAACAAGGTGTCAAGGGGGAAAGAGTTTGTCCTCCATCCTGGGCAATGGTGAATAGTGTGGCATCAAGCAAATAAATTATATGAGGTTTACAAGTAAGATCATTCTAATTGGTGAAGATGGACAGCCAAGTTGAGGATATGATTAGACTAGGATATCTACTATATCCTTGATTTCTGTAAAACTTGGTCAGCTAAAAGTCTTTTAATACTGAATTGGTTACTTCCAAGTAGCAACAGCAGAAATCTGTTAAAAATGTATTCCAAAGATCCTTATTCAGTATAATCATCTGTGGGAAAAGCAAAGTGAAACAGAATGCAGTTACTATACAAAGCATCCTGCCACTCCTCACAATCCAAATGGAAAGTGGTGCAATGTGGAGGACAGAAGATGGGACACACAATTCTTTCAAAGCCATGCCTTGGTTGCCCTTATTGTAAAACTGCCTCAGTAGCAACTATATCAAAACTGGGCAGGGAATCAAGAGATCCATCCTGAATGTGTGACACAATGGTACCATTTTTCACCGAGCATCTAAATGTCAGAGGCAGGGCCAGCTGTGCATCCTGTAACAAGATGCTGCTCCACACCCAACCTTGCACTTGGGCAAGGGAGCACTGGATAAGGCATAAGAAGAGCCAGCTGAATCAGGCCAATGACCCATCTAGTCCAGCATCCTGTTCTCACAGTGGCCAACCAGATGCCTGCAGTGAACCCACAAGCAGGAGCCCTAGGCCCAAGAGCAATCTCCCCTCCTGTGGTTTCCAGCAACTGGTATTTGTAAGCACGACTGCCTCGATCAAAAGGTCAGGATTGTGTGGGGTGAGGCCCTGACAGTTCTCACACCATTTAAAGGCAATGAACTGCACTACAAACTCGAAAACAGTCTCTGAGCGAATGATGTGTTCGCATCCCTCTCTGTGGGAAAACAGTACACAACGCTGACACTGCCTAGTTCACCTTTATATGAGCTCTTAATAGTAGCTGATGGTAGTCTTTGCAAATTGATCTTGTAAACGGCCCAGAGTGTAAATAAACGTTAGGCTAAATGGTTTATTAGCCAGCGTGGTGTAGTGGTTAAGAGCGGTGGACTCGTAATCTAGTGAACCGGGTTTGTGTCTCCGCTCCTCCACATGCAGCTGCTGGGTCACCTTGGGCTAGTCACACTTCTCTGAAGTCTCTCAGCCCCACTCACCTCACAGAGTGTTTGTTGTGGGGGAGGAAGGGAAAGAAGGTTGTTAGCCACTTTGATACTCCTTCAAGGTAGTGATAAAGCGGGATATCAAATCCAAACTCTCCTCCTTATTAAAGGGAGTACATCTTCTAGTCCTGCTTTTTTCCTTTTTTTTTTTTTTTGCATTCAAGCCCCACCTATGGCTGTGGCAGGTGATACAATCAGTACAGAAACACCATTGTGCTGTACCTATGTACAGAGGGTTGGTTTTTGTGCTGGGGAACCCATCAATACAAACTTCGATATGCTGGGGATGAGATTCACTTTTTAAAGTAATGCATTTTTAAAGTCAGCTTTCTTATAGAGCAGGTATTCCCAAACTGGTCCACAAGTTTTGTTGAGGTGGCCCGTGGCATGTCTGTGAAGAACACTTGCACAGAATTCAGATTGTCCTAAAATACAATATAAGAAATGATGATTAAAAATCATACAACATCCAGCACAGTGAGTTACAATTGCTGTAACAGGAAGAAGAAAAACCCTAAGTTTATGGGGAGGGAAGGTTTGGGAAGCAATGTTTTTTCAGCGAAAATCTCAAAGTCCTTTTTTATAGGGTCTTAATATGAGGAGTAGGGACGTGGGTGGCGCTGTGGGTTAAACCACAGAGCCTAGGACTTGCCGATCAGAAGGTCGGCAGTTTGAATCCCCACAACGGGGTGAGCTCCCGTTGCTCGGTCCCTCCTCCTGCCAACCTAGCAGTTCGAAAGCATGTCAGAGTGCAAGTAGATAAATAGGTACTCCTCCGGTGGGAAGGTAAATGGTGTTTCCGTGCACTGCTCTGGTTCGCCAGAAGCGGCTTAGTCATGCTGGCCACATGACCCGGAAGTTGTACGCCGGCTCCCTCGGCCAATAAAGCGAGTTGAGCGCTGCAACCCCAGAGTCGGCCACGGCTGGACCTAATGGTCAGGGGTCCCTTCACCTTTACCTAGCAAAGCATGGAGAATGCGGGTTGCGTTAACTGTCCCTGCAGTGCAAGTAGATAAATAGGTACCACTCTGGCAGGAAGGTAAACGGTGTTTCCGTGCGCTGCTCTGGTTCTCCAGAAGCGGCTTAGTCATGCTAGCCACATGACCCAGAAGCTGTACGCCGGCTCCCTTGGCCAATAAAGCAAGATGAGCGCCACAACCCCAGAGTCGGTCACGACTGGACCTAATGGTCAGGGGTCCCTTTACCTTTACCTTTAATATGAGGAGTGCACACAAAAGGTCAGGCGAGACAAGGTAAACATAGTGTCTGCTACTAAAGAAGGGATCGCTTACAAGGTGCTGATGTATCAAAATCTCACACTGAATTGCCTCATGTGAATGGCAAATGTAGATGGTTAAATATATTCCACACTGAATGTTGGAGTCAAAATCCCAAACCACTTACCGTAATTCAAAGACAGCAACTGCTGTCAGGCAACTCTGGCAGATGAATGCATATGTCTGTGTTTCCGTATGGAAACCTCAAGCTTTTTTGAGTTACCTCCAATTAGTGTGCTAGGATGATGATAGCTAGGATAAGAAAATTAAGTTAACTTCACTTGCCTGTAACCAATTTTTTGTGAGGTGTGAAGTATCATTTTACATCTCTCACCTGCATTGGCTATAAAAGGCTCACTAATTTTGCTTAAGCACAAGTAAGATGGTTTAGTAAATGGGCAGCAGCATGCCTGATACTGCCCTTTTCAGTTGGGCTTTCTGTGCTAGTTTAAAAATTTGACCAGTCTGGAGGATATTCTCTCTCTCGGCTTTCTGCAGGGATGGGGAACTAACTCCCATCAGCCTCAATGTGCATGCCCAGTGTCCAGGGATGAAGGGAGCTGTAATTCAAGCACAAGAGATTCCCCTAGGTTCCCTGTGAACCTAAAAAGCTAAAACCTTGAGCACACTTAAATTTAGGCACCGTTAAATTTGAGTGGGACTTGCTTCTAAGTAAGTAAGCATAGGATCTAGTTGCTAAAATTAATTGCTGCTCCTTATGCAAAACATTGGGCAATATTACATTGGGCTGCATCCCATTCTAGTCCCACTTGGAGTAGAGCCATTGAACTCAATACCCATGGATTTTAATGATTCTACTCTGAGTAGGATTTAGAGGGATATGATCCATTTTTTTATTAGTAAAAAAGACAAAATGTGTCTTGTTTTCAAACACATATCACTATGTGATGGCTGTAGCTTGACAGGGGAGTTAGGAAATTTTCTCAGGCTGTTTCTTATGACTGTTGATGTGTTAAAGCAGAGATCCCTAGATCCATGTTGTGTGCCAATGTGCAAGTATAGCTTCCCACTGAGAAACAAGCACCACATGGCGCCCCGTATTATCATATGTGCTGTCTGATGTATACATTTGTTTTATATTTATCCAGAGACTGTGCGAACCTTTCAGCCTCCACCCTCCCGCCCCTGTTTGCCACATATTAGTTACAGAGATTTACTTCCAAAATAGGAGTTGCTTCTTTATTTTCATTGTGGGGAAGTCTGGTTTGTGTTTTATATAAAAGCTGGTCTCTTCATCTTGATATGTTAATATCTGAAGACAGGGCTAAATGTTTAGCAGAC